AGAAAAAAAAAACACGAAACCCAGGCGCCGAGCAAATTGCTCTGAGCAACGCATCACAAAAGGATGTAGCGCAAACCAGGTTACCGCGATGCAAATTACTCCACGAGTCACCTTCCGTGAATGTAATGAACATCATTTCAGGGTCCTCATAGATGCATGCCAAATGATTATAATTAAGCTTTTATGCCCAAGATATTTAACACGGCATTATTTTAATCTCGTGGACAAATTCATAAAATGAAGAAAAAAAAACGCGTTAACATAATCTGGGGTTTTTATTTTATTTTTTCTCTCCAACAGACACGTTCGTAATTGTTCTGGTATTCCTACTCGTCTGTGGCTACATTTCCTACGTCCAAACAGAGAACAGAAAATGCACAGTTGACGATTGCAGCGTCAAACCGTGGTCGGCACGACAAGTGCGGAACACAGGCAGCATAGCCACGAGAAGTGAATGACTTTTAGCAGCGTGCGGACAGCGATACGCTACCGGTGTCAATCTCTGCTGCTACGCCGCAAAAAAAACAGTCACACCTGTCACACAGCAGCTTAATAAGAGGAACCAAATGTAACGGGAATAAAAAAAAACACACACACACGCGCAATTTCACGTATACACATACACACGCGCGGGCACGCACTGTATGTCTCTATGCACTAACACAGAGCAACGAGCGACAACACGAAGCACAGGGTCAGGTCATTCCTCCACTTACCTCCGGAAACCTGAGAGAGGAAGGCAGTCCGCCTGGCGGGGCGAGGCAGCGTGCCTGGGGCACGAGCGAATCGATAGATCAGCGAACGCGGCGCGGGCTCAGCGAGCGAGGGAGCGAGCGGGGTGACACCGCGCGAGGTTCCTTCCCGTCGGGGGGGCTCGCGAGAGATTAGCCAAGTCGCCGGCACCGCGTCGATCCCTGCGAGCAGAGCGAGAGATCTCCCGCGCGCGCCCGGGAGCCACTAACGTCGTTCAGCCAGGAGGGATAAGATACAGGAAAGAATTTAACAACAACAACAACATAAAAGCCAAAAAAAACAAAAGCACCTTCGCGGGTTTAATTAATTGCGCTGTCCTAACGCTCGCTTTCCCGCAGCCGAAAGATCGTAGTCGGTCGTCGCGTACGAGTCCCGAGTTCGCGGCTGTTGGAAAACTCCTCGCGGGCTTTTCCTGGCGACGTCCTCGCGGGCGGAGGTCTGTCCCGCTTCATTTTTGGCCACGGAATGCCAAAAAGTTGCAGCCACGAGCGCGCGAAGGTGGAAATGGGAGCGAGTGTGGGGCCTTGCGGCTCGCCTGCCGAAACACAAACCCCCTAAAACTGCCTGGGAAATGAGATCCTGACTCCAGAGATTTCAAATTTGCTGTTCATGTTCATAATTAATTCAGGAACATTGATAATTTCATTACATTTCTTTCTTTCAGGCCTTATCAATAAATGATGGCCCAGCCTCGGCTCTGACTATCTCTCGCCCGACATGAAAGGGCTTAGGTGGCAATCTTTCGAGGTTGATCTTGGAGAAAGGGGGGGGATAGTGTCAGAAAACGAATCTCATCTCGGGGAAGTTTTTAGCAGCCCGAGCAAGATTCAGCCTTGTAAAGAAAAAAGCACTTTGCAGAAATACGATCTGGGGTTGTGGTTTGGGATTCACTACAGAAGAGCAGCAACAGCCGCTTAAAAGGTTGTCGAGAAGGGGGGGGGGGGAATACATGCGCGTTAACCCTTTGTGTCTGATCATGCATGCAGATGCAACGAAAGCAACGGATACGTGGGTTTTGATTGTGTATGTGATTTGCCAGGATGTGTTCCTCAAATAACATAATCACTGAGACACAGTATATATGCACGGTGTCCGTAGAGATCTAATCGATCATTATTATAGTTGAACAATTTTGAGCCGAGTCGATAAAACTACACGCACACACACGTGGTAGGCTGAAGATTATATCCTATGAGTCTCAGCCCTCCAGTCCTCCACGTGTCCACCGTGGTGCCGGTGACTCACATCGCACGGAGGTTTCAGAGAAAGTCCCAGATGTTCGAAAGCACCTCGGCGGCGAACGTGTCCAATACTTCTGCTGTTTTGCGCTGTTGAAGATCGCTCAAAGCTTTTTTTTTTCATAACAGAGGCTTTTTTTCGTTGGCAAACACTTCATCTGTCACACAACCCCCGAACCATTCAACCATGCAGTTCAAATTTCGATCTAATTATACTTTTGTAACAACGGGTTGTATCATCATGGATACCCTATACAGTGCATACACCACATACGGGAGCATAAGTAGCATTAACATACCACAGATAACATTCTTCATTTCCAAAAATTGTGCCTCGTAAATTTAACTTGTTCCCGCTGGGCACGCTGTTCCTTTAAAGCCTGCGCCGTTGCTAATTCACTCCAATCCAGTGTTGGGTCTATTAAATACCTCCCCGAGTCCAATCCATTCTGCGTGTGACCTTTGATTACAGTTAAACGCTCACAATGAAGTCCGATTAATGAGAAAGGGACGAGAGAAATGTGGTCAGGATTTTTTTCTACGCATTTATCCCAAAGGGCACCGCTGGAGCCGACGTAATTGCGTACCACTCGCCGCTTTCTTAGGTACAAACCCAATCCAGAGTGGGCACGTCTTTAATTACGCATTTCAGCTGACACCTGTTGCTCTACGTTGGCAACTCTGAGCAGAGGAGTTGCTTTATTGTCAAAGCCGTGGTAGCTTGGGGGGGGGGGGGGGGGGGGGGGGGCAATTGCCTCTTGTTATCCGCGTTTCTCTTGCAGCAAGGCCGGACGGATTCGATAGCGGTGTGACACAACAGCGTTCTCCCGAACAACATTCCGGCGCCGCAAACTTCAACTTCTTCTTATCCCTTATTCATTGGCAATGGACATTAATTTTGTAACGTGTCTTGGATGAGCAGCGGCATTTCTCCGGTCCGTGCATCGACATCAAAGCCAATTAACACGTGTTTTCTTCGCCCTCGAGGACCACTTGCCGAGCACTCGTAGGACACGATACGCGGAGTCTACGTACAACATTACTCGCGAAACTTTACGTGCCACCCTATGCCTGGCGTGCAAGTGAATGGACCGGTGGGTGAGATGGAGAGGGCGACAGGGTCAGATGTAATGCGCAGAAGAAAAAAAGAACCCCCCCCCCACAACTTCTCTGGGTCAGCTCACCCCGCGAGGTGGTTAACGAGCACAACACCTTAGATGGCAGCGCAACACTCACCAGCGTGGCTGGATGTGGTGTGAATCTTGACTTAAAACTTTCGTGACTGCAGGAATTCATATTCTTGGCTCTTTCGGTAAAGTCACGTAGATAGAAAATAAAATAAAAAGAATAAAATAAAATTTCCATCTAGGTAAAATAAAATGTTGTATTTTATTTGTATTTTATTATTGAATTTTATATCTACGTGACTTTACCGAAAGAACCAAGAATATGGATGTGGTGTGTGTGTATGTATGCTGAAATTCTTTCGCACCGTACATAGCCAACCGTGCTAATCGGAGGTGCGAGGGGAAGGAGGCACTCGAGATTTTTGGTGCAAAGGTACTCACCAATTAAAAAAAAAACGTTTTTTTTACTTTTACATCACCTTTGTCAATCGAGCCCCTTGCATTTGAAAAAGTTTACGTATTTCTTTTTTTTTACCATTTTTCAAAACATGTTTCTCTTCAAACGGCCAATACTTGTGGCATGTGCACTGAGTGTTCACAGTAGCTGATTGTAACGTGCGAGTGTAAACGTCCCAAGTAGCTTTTCTCGACCTAACACCTGTCCACCAAACCCTAAATACATTCGTGCAACCAAATATCAAGGTCCTATGTGTTTTTTTTTATTTGCTCGACGAGTGGGATAAGGTATTAGGAGGGTCGTTGTACATACATATGAATACTGCATTCAGTCCTTACATTTTCCAGATTACATTTATTTCCATGAGTTGTACTTTTTTAGTTTTTAATAACACACAGCGCCAGTGGCCCGATCTACTCCTTTTGTTCAAACCTCGCAACAACAGCTGCGGCGCAGGTAACTCCACGGGTAATTGCTGGGTGTGGTTGACACAAAGACAAAGATCCCCCGTGTAGCCTTAACAGACTGTCGGGGCAAGTGTTGTTAACGAGCACCTATGACACACGAGGGTGGTGGGTGGCCAGCAACCACGCCCAGCCGCCTTTGTCTCCCCAGTGAAGATGTTTACTACACACCGCACCAGGTACTCATTTGAGGCTTAGTCGACCTAGGGCAGGCCCAGGACCGGTTCAGATAATCGTCACTGGGTGTTGGTCGTGAGCGGGAATCGAACTCGGGTCGCCGGGTTCGTAGCGCAATCCGCTACACACACTGACATAAAGACAAAGATCCCCCGTAGAACCTTAACAGACTGTTGGGGCAAGTGCTGTTAGCGAGCACCTATAAAGGCCGGCACGGCACACGAGGGGGTGGGTGGCCAATACCACGCCCGGCCGCCTTTGTCTCCCTAGTGACGATATTTACACATCGCACCAGGTACTCATTTGAGGCTGAGTCGACCTAGGGGAGGCCCGGGACCGGTTCAGATAATCGTCACTGGGTGTTGGCCGTGAGCGGGAATCGAACCCGGGTCGCCAGGTTCATAACGCAGCATAGCGCTAACCGCTACACTACCGCTCCCCACGACGCACTGACACACACACACTGACACACAGACACACACACAGACACACACACTGACACACACACTGACACACACACACTTGTAGCCAAAGCAAGTGACATCGGTGGATGACATCGAGTAGGAGTGAGTGTGAGGCACCCACCACCTGCGCCATGAGGAGTCTGTAGGAGGCACCAGGGCAAGTAGATGTATCATCTCTCTTGCTTGGAGTTCGATTTTTTCTTATTATCTGTTAGTTTTCCCAAAGTTAGCCGTGTCCCCCCCCCCCCCCCCCCCCCCCCCCCCCCCCCCTCCTCAAACATTGCCAAAATACCCTATATGCTGGACTATGTTTTTAATGTTTTCCCTCCTCAAGCGGAGAAGTACTGTAAGTCCAGGCTGAGTGGACAGAGTAAGTCTATATTCCATCCCCCTGTCCCAAAAAAACATCTATTTCATGTAAGGTACCACAATGTGGTACGTATCAGATATTAAACGGAAAAGAACGGACACTGCACTTGATCTTAGCCAAAAAGGGTGAGAAGCGATCAATTTATGTGACCCTTGAAGATGAGTCTCGTGCCTTATGCATTGCTGAGTAATACAAAGATAAATGTGCAGCCCTGCACATTGCATTTTCACGTTACCGTTGGCGGAAGGGTCTCCACCAGAAGACGCTCTGGACAGCCACACCAGAGAGAATCTGGCATCCTCTTCCAAACTGGGCAGATGTCTTGGAAGATGTATTAGTAACGACGCTTTACCCCAACTGCACGTGACCTGCCAATCGACTGTGGTGAATCCGTTTATACCGCTGGGAGGACAGAGGCAGGGGCGGATTGTGGAAACGTGCCCCATTGTGTTAAGTGCAACACCGAGAGACTGATGTGTGGATTGCACGTCCAGCGCGCTAACCGTTACGCCACGGCAGCTTCCTTCCTTAGCTGAGTAGAGAATTATGTAAGGACGTTAAGAGCACAACGTCGCCCGCGACTTTATTGGTCTACACGTGCACGTTGGCGTGGATGCAATTACTGCCATAATTGTGGCGCAATGTTACCCTACGAGCGATCACCTCTTTTGACGAGGAATGAGCCTAACCTAAGCAAAGCAGGACCTTCAGTTTGTGTGAAATATTTTTGGTTTATATGTAATCGAACATTTTTGCTCTACAATTCTACAGGGGGGCAGTTGCAGTGGTAGGCTGAAGTAAATCAAGCAAAATAGTAGGACTCTAAATGGCTCAAAGGCCCCAGATTCAGCAAACAAAAACCAATGGGCGCACCACATATCAGCTCAAATGCAAATCCTAATGAACATGGCAAGCAAACTAAAATAAAAATCCTATGAAGCTTTCACATCTCTGTCTTGGTCTGCATATGTCTTCTCTAATCTCACAACATCCCTGCTTTGAGCGCACATTTCTCTTATCTCGCTCCAATGGTATCTCTTGTCTCTATCTCTTCGGTCATTTCACGAGCATATTTGTCAAATAGAAGGGGGAGGGGGGGGACCCTCAAAAATATTTCTGCATAGGCTTCCCAGTGGACTAACAACACTCATACGGCGAGAGGGCATTGCCTTAGCATAATAATCCAGATTCTTGGTTCTTTCGGTAAAGTCACGTAGAAGGGAAACAATAAAATAATAAAAATAATAAACAATAAAATCGCTGCAACCCTCAAAAACGCTAAGATGCCAGCTAGCAACCTCAGCAAAGATGAGCGTTTTGAATGATATAAATTAAAAAAGAGGGATGACATTGTCATCCTCTCAGCCGACAAGGGCAATGTCACTGTCATCATGGATAAAATAGGATATAACAACAAAATTCAAGAATTACTCAACGATGGCAGCTATACAAAAATAAAAAGAGATCCCACCAACAGCCTCGTCATACAAACCAACAAAATAATTTCTGATTCAACCGCATTAATTGATCAAACCAAACAGTTCTCGTTGAAACCTTCTGCTGCCAGGCCACCAAGATTATACGGCTTACCAAAAATACATAAAGTAGATACACCCCTTCGTCCCATCGTCTCTACTATCAACTCCCCCACCTACAAACTGGCTCGTTTTCTGCGTGAAATCCTGCGGCCTTACACTGGAAAAACCACCTCTGCGGTACGAAATTCTACTCACCTGGTATCGACAATCACGGGTATTTCCCTGTCCCCAGACGAACTGCTTGTGAGTTTTGATGTAGTTTTTTTATTCACCAAAGTTCCTGTACCTGACACCATCGCAATCATTGAAGACTTGGTTCATCAAGGACTGAACACTGAGGTACCCCCCCTGGTGAGACACTTCTTAACCAATACATACTTCACTTGGAATGGAACTTTCTACAAACAAACTGAGGGGACCCCAATGGGCTCCCCCCTACAGTGAGGGAGAAAAGTAGTTCATCCCATGCTGACTTTGTACGTTTGCCCACTGACAAAAAAATGATCAGTCTATAATTTTAATGGTAGGTTTATTTGAAAAGTGAGAGACAGAATAACAACAAAAAATCCAGAAAAACGCATGTCAAAAATGTTATAAATTGATTTGCATTTTAATGAGGGAAATAAGTATTTGACCCCTCTGCAAAACATGACTTAGTACTTGGTGGCAAAACCCTTGTTGGCAATCACAGAGGTCAGACGTTTCTTGTAGTTGGCGACCAGGTTTGCACACATCTCAGGAGGGATTTTGTCCACTCCTCTTTGCAGATCTTCTCCAAGTCATTAAGGTTTCGAGGCTGACGTTTGGCAACTCGAACCTTCAGCTCCCTCCACGGATTTTCTATGGGATTAAGGTCTGGAGACTGGCTAAGCCACTCCAGGACCTTAATGTGCTTCTTCTTGAGCCACTCCTTTGTTGCCTTGGCTGTGTGTTTTTGGTCATTGTCATGCTGGAATACCCATCCACGACCCATTTTCAATGCCCTGGCTGAGGAAAGGAGGTTCTCACCCAAGATTTGACGGTACATGACCCCGTCCATCGTCCTTTTGATGCAGTTAAGTTGTCCTGTCCCCTTAGCAGAAAAAAACACCCCCAAAGCATAATGTTTCTACCTCCATGTTTGACGGTAGGGATGGTGTTCTTGGGGTCATAGGCAGCATTCCTCCTCCAAACACGACGAGTTGAGTTGATGCCAAAGAGCTCCATTTTTGTCTCATCTGACCACAACACTTTCACCCAGTTGTCCTCTGAATCATTCAAATCTTCATTGGCAAACTTCAAACGGGCATGTATATGTGCTTTCTTGAGCAGGGGGACCTTGCGGGCGCGGCAGGATTTCAGTCCTTCATGGCGTAGTGTGTTACCAATTGTTTTCTTGGTGACTATGGTCCCAGCTGCCTTGAGATCATTGACAAGATCCTCCCGTGTAGTTCTGGGCTGATTCCTCACCGTTCTCATGATCATTGCAACTGCACGAGGTGAGATCTTGCATGGAGCCCCAGGCCGAGGGAGATTGACAGTTCTTTTGTGTTTGTTCCATTTGCGAATAATCGCACCAACTGTTGTCGCCTTCTCACCAAGCTGCTTGGCAATGGTCTTGTAGCCCATTTCAGCCTTGTGTAGGTCTACAATCTTGTCCCTGACATCCTTGGAGAGCTCTTTGGTCTTGGCCATGGTGGAGAGTTTGGAATCTGATTGATTGATTGATTGCTTCTGTGGACAGGTGCCTTTTATACAGGTAACAAGCTGAGATTAGGAGCACTCCCTTTACTTTAAGAGTGTGCTCCTAATCTCAGCTCGTTACCTGTATAAAAGACACCTGGGAGCCAGAAATCTTTCTGATTGAGAGGAGGTCAAATACTTATTTCCCTCATTAAAATGCAAATCAATTTATAACATTTTTGACATGCGTTTTTCTGGATTTTTGTTGTTGTTATTCTGTCTCTCACTGTTCAAATAAACCTACCATTACAATTATAGACTGATCATTTCTTTGTCAGTGGGCAAACGTACAAAGTCAGCAGGGGATCAAATATTTTTTCCCTAACTGTATCTCCGGTTGTAGCCAACATTTTCATGGAAAAATTTGAGACTGACGCCATCCAGACTGCCACTCTGCGCCCAACCTTATGGAAGAGGTACGTGGATGACACTTTTGTCATCTGGCCACATGGCCGGCCTGCTCTAGACCAATTCCTCGACCACATCAATTACATATACCCAGCCATCAGATTTACCATTGAAGTCGAAAAGATGGCAAGCTACCTTTTTTGGATGTCCTAATAAAAAAGAGACCTGGTGGTTCAATGAGCCACTCTGTCTACAGGAAAGCTACCCATACGGATGCTTACCTGAAACCGGATTCCCACCACCATCCATCCCAGAAGAATTCCCTCATCAAGACTATACCATAGAGCCCAATGCATCTCCAACCAGGAACACATTGCCAGTGAACTCAAGCATGTACACCAAGCTCTCAAGGCTAATGGTTACTCCGACTACACAATCCGCAAATCCATCACTCCAACCATGAAGGATCCTCTTGAGAAGCCATTCAAAACCATCACCTTACCGTACATTGCGGGGGTCACAAAAAAGATCTCGAAAATTCTGAATAAACACAATATCCAGGTCCGATTCAACGCAGTACATAAACTCCGTGATCTGGTCCCGTCTGTAAAAGATGTGGTTCCAGACATATAGTACCCGGGCGTCTACAGACTAAGTTGGCTCTGTGGTAGCAGTTACATTGGAGAAACCAAACGACATATCTCGGACCGCATCCGTGAACATAAAGCAGACTTGAAACATGGTAGGACGAACACCTCAGCCGTGGTAGATCACTGTTATAATTCAGTAGGTTCACATGACATTGACTTCTCCAAGACAGAGGTTCTTTGCAAGTCATCTAGCTACCATGAGAGATTCGTTCATGAGGCTATCCACATATACAAACACAGAGACAATTTAAACCGAGAAGATGGATTCTGGCTTAGCAATCATTGGAAGGATTTGATAAACCATTTCGGGTCTTAATTGGTTGTTCACGCTTACGGTGGCTTTCAGACCGCATTCATTATTTTCGTCTCCCCCCTCCTCTTTTCCGAACATAGATGGACTCGTCCATCTGAACAAACTGCCAAATCGCTCTCCGTGGTGCTAACGTTAAAAATAACCGCCACTTTTTTCAAAATTTCTTGCTGTGGTTTTCACACCTGATGATGATTGCGTGTGTTGCAGTCGAAACGTCGTGAGAATTTTATTGTTTCATATTTTTATTATTTTATTGTTTCCCTTCGACGTGACTTTACCGAAAGAACCAAGACTATGAATCCCTGCAGTCACGAAAGCTTTAAATAAAAAAATAATAATCCAGTTCAAGTTCAAATGTATTTGCTCAAAGCAAGCGAGAACTCAAGAAGGGACCAGGACATTCTCATTTGTAAAATGTGACCTGGGCCACACCGAGTTGGCAACACGCAATCAAAACAAAAAACAAGTTGAGCAAATGAAGCAAGCACAAAATTGGAGGTGGAAATCGTGGCAGCGGCTATGGCGTCACGGGCGATGAGAGACAGAGAGAGAGAGACAAACAGTCG